CGCGGAAAACCCTGGACGAGTAAAAGTTATTAAAAATCACAGTTTACGTGATTCGCCTCTAAAATGTTTAGCCGGTGTATTAGATATCGTTAACCACTCTACGACCAATTCTTCCTCCCATGGCCTTGGGTACGCCTATTTCTTCGACACAGACTGTACCAGTGCTTTTAATTGAATATAAAGCTGTAGTGGAACGTAAGTAGCTTGCAAGTGGTATTGCACATAAGTATGCAGTGACTCTTACGTTTCACGCAGAACGTCGAGTCGCACGAATCATTACTTCTAAGCAGGAAATATGTAGCCTACAAAGTTAGCCGGTCGTAGACAATTGGTGTGTCGCAAGGCGAGCACTAGAAAAGGTCGACAGGCGAGATTACTATTATTAGAATCGATGTTGACAGATGCAACCTGAACACTTCCATGCGAGAAACTATTTTCTCTCCATTTCCTTGTGTTTGCAAGGACGATCAAATATTTTCTACCCTACTTTACGAAATTTTGCTCAACTCTCCGTGACACGATTTTACTACTGTCGCGACATTTTATAGAATTTAAATCGAATAGGGGAATGTCAAGACAGGTGAAATATTGGAATACGTCGATACGACGCCGTCAAGGATATAGAAATTAATCAAACTGAGATAGACGAGCTTGTAAGGAATTTGCGTAATTCGCTGATTACTATGGGACGAATGTACACCGTGTCTGAAATGTTACCTTCCGCGTGAATTAAATATTTGGCGCCGAGAAACGACGGTGACGCAAACCGACGACGTCAACGGGGAACAAAACGGGCACAGGTTGGAATTCCAATCAGCCACACGCGTCAATGATTCGTCACCGCTTCCTTTCCCTAGATGAAACGTTTCGAAAGATTCGAGAGAGATCAACGATCAGAATTCTAAAAAAAAAAAATAGAATATTTCCGAGTACTGGAGATCCGCCGCGGTCCATAGGCGTCGCAATAAATCGAGGCACGAACGAAAAATCGTAAGAAAGAACTAGGCGAGACTCGGCCAATTACCGTGATCGTGGCATTAGGGAAAATAGCCAGCCCCGTTATTCCGTGCTAGGGAACTTTCTTCCGAGGGTATTAAGTCGCCCGCGTTATTGATTACGTTCTGTTATCGGCGCGGTGAATCGGCCGGGATAAATATATATCATTTATGTGCGAACACCCACCGCCAGGCATTTGACAGCGGAACGGTGAAAATTATTTATTGCCAGATCACACACGGCCTTTATTCGCGCGGCGAGATTCTTGGTCACGGGCTGTTGGGGAACGAACGCGCGCAAACGCCACCAGTTCCCCTCCTTCCCCCTCCCCCTATCCCCCTCCGAAACACCACCACCCCTTATCTGTTGATGACATTTTTCCCGCGAATGATTTACACCCGTTGCGTAAAAGCTCGCGTGGACGGTTTCCTGAAATTTCCAGCGATTTCCTCGAGCGTGATCGATCAGACGTGCTCGAAAATCCACTCGCCTGTGACGTTGATTGCGAGAGACTCGGCGATTTGAGCCGATAGGGTGTCTGGCGTTCGCGGACGAGAGGTGTTTGTAGGAAATAATAGAATAGCTTCCAGTAATGGATAAACTTTATTAGAACCGGGCGGTCAAGTTCCAAGAGACGTTGCAATCCGAATCGATAAGCGGCCTGGTGTTCGTAGACGATACACGGGCGTGGATTGGGCGATAGAACCACTTACTCGGGTAAATAAAACCCGAGAGTTTTGTAGAAAGTAGTGCAATCGAGATAGCTATAGTGAAATTTCATCTGTTTCGGTTTCGTGCATGCTCGATCATTAGGAACGAAAGACACTGTGAGAGGGATTGAATACGTGGGGGGTGTAGCTCTGTGACAATTTCAGAGGCATTACTGTAACAAGCTCTTCTTCGAATAGTACCGTAAAGAATCGAATAAAAAAATTTAGAAACGATTGGTTATAACATTTCTAGTTGCATGATAATTAAATGCACACGATGGGGTATCGATAATAGAGATCGAGTCAAGGTCGAAATCTGTCAACGCTTCCGCTCGAAATTCGTTCAACTTTCACATCCGTTCCTGCGTACGCACGCCCGTTAATTAAGGAACGAAGTTAGACGTTAATTAGAAACAAATTGATAAACGATCTCTGTCTCCTTCTGTTCGGAGCGTGTACGTGGCCGATCAAAACACGACACTCGGCGAGCCCACGTCGCCGTTCGTAATCGATCGATCATACGCTATTATCGCGGCGTTAAATCGTTCACCTATACGCGTATTTACGTGCCCTTTGCCTGAATGCTTTCACTGCCGGCCTTCCGGCAACGATGATAAAATCATTTATCAGCCGGTGCGGTTATTAGGCGGACGAAGCCGCCGGTGAATATTTAAAACGCGACGTTCGCCTTGTCCGTGATTTTTTTTTTAATAACAATAAGAAGAAGATACAAATTGGTTGTCGACTGCGCGTTAAACATCTGGCGAATCCTTCGGAACGGCTAATATATTGCGTTGATAACCCCTTAAGTGACCAATATTTTTTTTTAAATTTATTTTTATTATTTACTATCCCCTGATGTTCCAATTCATTAATGTAGTCTAATATAGTTCAATATGACATTTTAATATAACTAAGCAACAAATTATCCGAGTAAAGAATATGACTGTCGATGCTTGGGGGGAAAAGCTGCCTCCCTAACTGAACTGATCAGTTATTGGGGTTATGTTCTGCTCACCTAGCAAGTTCTCGCTACGTTAATTGTCATGCAACTTTGCCAAATGAAAAACGAAATAAACCCAAGCCACTTCCGCGCGTGAACAATTGTAAAAATGCACTTGACGTGTGTACAATCAGAGTCTCATTGAGTATCTCTTTATCGGAACACGGCGTACCTTGTCTCCGGCATGAAAATCGTTTTGCGTATGCGCGTAAACGCATAAAGAAAGTACGAACCCGCGTCTCGTGACGTGCACGATGAAATTAACAGTTGATTTAATATCGAGGGAAAAAAAACATCGCGTTGTGTTTCAGTGTTTGATAGACGGACAGTCAGGGCGCAGTTCTCTGCTTTCACTTCGCGTTGAAAACCGACAAAAACGCAGATATCCGAAGGCGAACCGTATTAAAACATAGTTCCCAACGGAAACTCCTATTTGCGTTGCTTTGTTTCGTGTTTGTTACGCGTTCTGCGGCGTTATCGAACCGTTTCGTCTTTTGTATGCATTTTTACGACTCGTTCTCGGATGAAAAGCATTTTTTTTTAACCCCACGAACCCTTGCATGGGCTCCGTGTATTCGTGCTCGCGCGGAGAACGCCTCGGGAGCGTTCAACAAATACCACAAGACTTTGACATACTTTATTTTTTTAATGAAATAATACTGCTCTTGTTAAAATATAAATTACGTTATTTTTGTTTGACTTAAATTAAAATTCCAACCCATGTTGAAACAGTAATGAAATCTGTTATCGTGATTTTTCTTTTGCCACGAGTTATTGTGATCAGTTAAACTGTTTACATGAAATTGTTAGAATAGATAAGTCGGATACGTTGAGTTGCAAGTGGATGTCGAGCACCGTTCATCAAGATAGTTCTTAACCTTTTCTATCTCTTAATATCGCCGCTCAGATTAGAATCTGAATCTGAAAACGTGAAATATCAGACGGCCCGATTACGTCTAGTGGCTAATTAGCCAAGTATTTCGCGATCTTTGCCAACGATCGGCGGAAATTCCATAGGAACTGACTTCTGTCGCATAAGAACAAATTTTCCCACAAAATCGTGCCTTTACTTTCACGTCGACCAGACGTTAAGAACGCGTATTGTTACAGAATTAGCAGTTTCGATTTATTGAAATTATTTACTCGTTGTCTATTTCAGTAGTACGAAGTATGTCGAGTGCAACAAAATCAATAAACAGAGTCCTTGGTAGATGTATCAATAATTACGACATAGGAATTCTTAGGTTATCTATTTATGGCGGGAGAATTTGAAATCCAGTGGTAGCACTAAACTAGTTTCGACGAACTGTACTCATGTTTCGAACTTTGAGCTCATCAAACTCTAAAGCTTTCCAAACTTGGTCGAACTTGTTCCAACCGTGCCAATACTTGGACCACGTTAGCGAAACCGGAAGTTCGAAACTTGCGATCGTAGAAAACAGCGCATTCCAGGAAGGATTCTGCTTCTTATGTAAAACACTCTTCCGTCTCGATGACTGGTGTTTGTCACCGTGGGAAGCAAACGATCGATAGTTTCCTCGCCATTTCATACCAAACAACATGCAACTTTGTAATGCTTCCAGCTTTATAACAGATTCACGAAGGAAGGTATTTGGTTGATAAAACTTTTGTACATTAACAGAGAAACCACCCCTTTCATTCGATTATCCCAAATTAAATTATATAAATTTAACCCATTCAAAAAAGAAAAAAGAAATTCTTTGAAAGAAACGAACTTTCCTTGCCAGCTGAAACCCCCAGTCCCAAGATTGAAGATCTCGGATAGCAATCGCGAGGCGAAGAATTAATACATCGTACGCGAGGATGGATCGTCTTCCTAATGCAAATCCGTCGTTTTCTCGTGTTTGTCATCGCGGGAAGCAAACGTTTGATAGCTTCCTTGACATTTCATACGGAACAACATACAAACCGGCGCGCATACGTGCCGTTGGGTACAGCCTTTCTAATCAATACCAGCTGCACATTGCGAGTACCATAAATCCTGTGCAACAAATACGGGTCAGCCAGGCTCGGTGTTGTCAACGCGGTAAGAAAAATCGTGTATCATTCGAACGCGTCGTTTTGTCGACAGCCGCTTTAATTAACAGCACAATACGTCCTAACGACTGAAACGGATTGAATTCTGTCGCTCGTGGCGAGCCGCGTTGCGTACAGCGGGGCACGACAGAAAAATTGGTTCGCGCTGCCCCGGAGAAGGCGATTTGAATTACAGCCGGACGGATTTTTTTTAATTTTTTATTAAGGGTGCTGTTTTCTTTCGACTGTTCCAGGTTCGCGACTTGGTCGAAAGGTGCACGTGTCCGACGCAATTCCCTATGATACGTGTGTCCGAGGGCAAGTACAGAATTGGCGACACGAAGGTGCTGATATTCGTCAGGATTCTACGAAGCCACGTGATGGTTCGCGTGGGAGGTGGCTGGGACACCCTCAGCCATTATCTGGACAAGCACGACCCTTGTCGGTGCAGAACTTGTAAGTGAAAATATTTTTCAACGTTTCGATTCAATGGTAGATTATCTCGTAGACAAAGAAGACGTTTGCCCGGGGCTTCGACTAATGAGATCAAGGTTTAACGCTTTTTTGGAGACGCTATACCACGCCTGTCGCGACGCGGGCACAGCTCGATGACTATGTAAACAAGGATGATCTCAGCATCGGAGGAAATAAAGATGATTCGAGGCTTTCGATTGTGTATTGTAGAGCTACGTAATAGGCATACGTTTGTCAGCAAGTCCTTTTTATAAGCAAATGGAGGTGTTCGTAGATTGTCAGGAAACTCATTTGTCGGCGTCAAATCTATGCAACTAGGCGAAGCTTTGAATTTAATTTTGAAACGAAGGCTAACACTGAAATAGCTACTCCGCCACGAATGATACTCGACAAATGATACCTTTAGAAGCGCTATTTTCCTAAATAGTAGTTTTAAAAATGGTACTTCCATAACCGGTACTTCCACGAATGGCACTTTCACGAAACGCGTACTCGTAATAATTTGCTCGACGGATAGTTTAGTTTTCCTCTTTGCCAGCCACGCGTCTAACAAACGCTCGAAAGCGACCTTTCAATTAGCGCTCGATCTGTGACTTCCCATCGAACAAATTGTGTTCCAATATAACGGAAAACGGACAAGATCGATTGTGCGATCACGCGCATATAATTTGTTAATCTTTCCTTCTTTTTTTTTTATTGCAGCTCATCGCTCGATGATCTCAGCGAAGCTGATTCAAAAGGCTGGAGGGTCCTTCGACCTTGGCAGCGCGCAGGTGCATTACGAAAGGTGAGTAATTTTCTGCTTCTAAGGTGTCATTTATCTGTCCACGATCATTCATTCTCGCTAGATTTTCTACGATTTTCTTGAAATAAAATGCTACCCGGGCTCCGGGAAATTATACGGGGTGTTGATCCGTGGGATCCAGGAATCCGAGAACTCGTATGACATTTACCAACGCGTGTCAGAAATGTTTAGTTAGCGCCGATTCATAAATCAACTTTAACAGAGTTGAACTTCGCGTCGACGAAAGTGAAAGAATATGATTCGTAAAGGTTAAAGATGATACAAAATTCAGGAACCTTGTTAAGGTTTCGGGGCACCGATACATCGGGTACATTACGACCTATGTTCTGAACTCTTCGGTAGTCCGGACTCCACATAACATTCATTAACCCACTTTCTCTCGGATTTACGTACTCCGTGTTACAATTCATTTCTCAGATCTGACATGTCTTTTTAATGCTGTTTCAATTATTAACGATTAAACACTCGCCAACATTACTAACGTAGAATCTACTATGTTACAAAAGGGCTGGCAAAATATGCGCGGAGGGGCCAAACTGCCCAAAATTGTTCTTTGTCGGTATCTCCCGAGTTTTCGACATAAGTTAAATAGTACTATTCCGTTGGATCGTGGTTCTACCGGACGAGAATTAGATCGATAGCAACGACAGAAAGAGTCGCGCGGCCTCTGGTCAGCATGGTTGCCCGCCCTGAACTCGAAACGTCAAACGCTCATTCACAGATCACCTCCTAGAACTCGAAGGAGTTCGGCGTCGAGCGTCGGTTCGTGTGCCGGAACGATGCAGAATCAGCAGTCGACGCAGCTGCACGCGGCCAGGAGCATCTCCAGCAATCGGTCGCGATCGCCCACGCCTCACCGGCCAACCGGAAAGCAGCAGCAACAGCAGCCGAGCGACGAGCAGAGGAAGATCAATCGCTCGAGGAGTCCGACGCCGCAGAGGAAATTCCTTGGGAGCCCGAACCATCAGCCGAACGATTTCGGGAAACAGCGATCCAGATCGCCGACCCCGAAGGCGCAGCTGAGATCGTGCAGCCCGACGACCAAACCGGAACACCCCAAGACCGGATGCGCCCTCGACTCGCCCAAGAGGAGCGTCTTCAACGAGGATGCCCGCTCGCCGACGCATCACGCCAAGCATCTGGACGCTAAGGTGAGTTGCACTCGCTCGGAATACTCTATTGGAGATCGTATCTTATTAGTAGAATCGTTCAAACCGGGAGTCTGTTCTTAGTTCTTTCGATACCAGCGCCGTCTACAGATGGCGTTCGCGTTACGAGATATGGATACCAGCGCCGTCTGTAGTCGGTCAAAATGCAAACAACGCGTATTTTTAACAAGGATTACCGATAGTCCTTGCACCGGTCGAGTACAATTAATGAAATTTTCCGAAAAATGGCTTGCGCAGGACACCAAGAAGGATCTACACCAGGAGATCCGCGCGAAGGTGCCCCTGTCGGAGGAGTTCACGAAACGTTACGTGGTGGAGGGTGGAGTGGCCCGGAGGGCGGTGGAGAAAGAGGACACCCCGAAGTACGAGCCGACGATCTACAATTACAAGTGTCGCGAGGACTCCAGCAGCCGCAGTCCCACGCCCAGTCCTCCGGCGATCAAGGAGGAACCGGTGCTGGAGAACTTCGGCAAGGACGTAGTGACGGGTGCCGTCCACTACACCAAGTCTCCCCACGGCGACGGCGAGCACTCGGACAACTGCAGCGAGGTCTCCGACGAGGGCTATCGAAGTTTGGGCGCCGTTCAGCCACCCACCAGCAACGGGAATCCCGGGACGTGCACGCAAGGATCGCCCACGGTTGCCGATTGTCAAAGTGAGTTCCTTTTTCTTTTGCCGTCTCGCCCGGGTGTACCATTCCTGGCCCGATCTCGTTCGTTTCTTCGGGCCTTCTCGGCTTCGTGATTTATGGATTATCGACGCTGCGTGGGCACCGCTGTTGTAACGTGAATGTAATATTGGCTAACGCGGTGTAATTCTTTTCCATTGATGCTGGCCACTGCGCGCCTCGGGTACAGGGTGTTTTTCAAGTCCTCTCTTTTTATATTTCAGTTATTACTTCTTTTTACTGTTTATTTCGTAATAGCATGAATCACTGCGTCTTCGCTGGTGCGATACGGACAATTGTCGATCACTTATTTAGGAAGGAAATCCCCGTACCCGTCGATGAGCGTAGGCGGATGTACCAAATTATTCCGAGTCTTGCGTAGATAATCGATCGAATAGCCGAGAGTCTCCGAAAATCTAGTTGCTTCTTTAATTTCGAGACACCCACGCGCTGTTTATGAACCTTGGTCACGCTCTCGCTTACGTAGCTTCACGCAACAGGAATTCTTTCAATGCCACGTTCCCGAATTTCACTTTTTTTTTTATTTGTATTTGGTGATGTAACATTCCAGCGATCTTGTAAAACCCATGAAATTTTCTGTACTAACATTTACACTGAACGTTTCGTTAAAGACCACACGTATGTCATTTTTTGACGCCTATACAGAATACACAAATTTTTGGATTCTTCTCTAGTTTAGTTCTTGTTAAAGATAGAACAAAATTGTAAAGCCGAGTCCCACGATTAGACTAGAGTCGCGAAAAAATGATAATTTGGTACATGGACAGCTTTCCAGTCGCGGCGCGACGAAACCGAACTGCGACGCGTTGTTTCGCAACAAGCGAAAGACGCATATTAATCCGGACACGAGTGAAATCGTCCCGAGATCGCGATAATCGCGTCCCGCTGCGGAGAAAACGCAATCGCGTGCGTGTACGCGCGGCTTTCCGATCAAAGCCAGTCATTGATTTTAATACGAGCTCGGCGGAGGGGGTGGCACGACCGAACAAACGCCAGTATTGTGTAGTTCCTCTTCTGTTTTAACTCTCTCGGGATCGATGGGTATCCGTCCTTCTCTCTCCCCCTGTCGCCCCGACGTTTTTTCTTACTCGTTTTCCAGCCCGATCGGAGAACGGCCCACTTCGTGAAGCACCTCTCGTGGGTGATGCGTCGTTGAAACGTTTTAACGAGCGAAGTTAAATTTTTCGTCGAGGACAGAGACGCCGAGGACTCGCGTTGGCGTCGTCGTTTTCGTTTTCTCGCGATCGAAAAAACAACCGAGAAAATTGTACGTGGATAGAAACGAAGATCGAAGAATTCGGATCTTAATACCTCGGGGCGAGTATTTATCTTCACCTGCCTATCTCAAATTGTCAGACCTGACAACGGGGATTTAATTCGCGTCTTAACTCGATGGATCGACGCGATACTGTACCAGCCTTTCAACTCTTTTGTACTTAACGGCGCGCGGAATCCCCCACGGTCTATTTAAAGTTTCATTTCAAGTGTAATGCACTCCGTGGGTTTATTTTTAGTTTACGGTTTTGTCGTATTGGAGGCTGATAATCGTTCGACCTTTCAAGCAATATAGATGATCTATCATGAAACTGTTACTAGTAACCATCACAGACAGACCCAAATGTTAGGGTAATAGGAAAAAAACAGAATTAGGGATTACGCGAGGTACTACAATCTATGAACAATTTAGGAGTTATGGGATCTATCACTAGTATGTATAAGCTTGGTACTTCATTTAACAGATTAGAATGGCCCACTGGACTTGTAGAGAATCAGAACTTGGGGACTAGGTTAAACAAACATTCTCAAACTTATGAGCCTATATGCTCTCATCATATATTAGGGTCGGAATCCTTTTCCATACCAATTCGCATCATCCTTTGCACTTGCATACTATGAAAGATCATTGACTTAAGAACACCGTAATCTGTAGTTTGTACAAACAATCATCCACACTAGGAGTAACTCTTAACACCATAAAAAGCACTAATTCAAACAGGACCCATTACTGACTCGACGTGTATAATCTTAGGGCTTAGAGTTGATCCAGAACTTTGGGTTAAACGATCCTCCAAAAACTTGGACAGCATCGATCACAACGAAAGATCAGAATTCAGAAATAAGTTTCTTCGCTTTGAAAAGGATCAGTTTCATAAAGCAACGGCTGGAAAGCGTATAAAGAGCGGAGCAAGGTTCACTGGAACCGTCTGTTCTGGCGTCAAAGATCGCCACGCGTCAAGTGCGTCGAGTAAGCCAAGCACTCGGAGCACCGGCCATAGTCGCGCGTATGTTCGATGCAAGTGTGTAAGCGTTATCGAGAATCGACCGCTGGCGATTGTTCCGAGGACAGGTTGTTGTTGGAGATCGCCCACGCTCCTCAACAGAGAGATCCCTTGCCCGTATAATCCGTCCGAGCCGGCTAAATGTCAGGCGAGCGTATACGCGCGTCCGTAACGTGTGTTCGTGTACTTTGAATATTAATGAGCTACAGGGTGGTCCAAAACGTTGGGTAACTGGCCCGTGGAAAGTCAGGTTACATCGACGACACCGAGATCAGGCAAATCTTTGCGTTGATACGCATGTTTGTTTAAGTTTGACAATATCACGAGGCTACCGATTAGGCTGTCGTCGCTCAAACTTCTTCGATGGGCACGTTTGGATCGGTTTCGTTTTCGTTTGGCAGCGCGGTTCGTCGCGCTCACTGTACCGATGATTGCTCGTGTATCCGTCTTGTGAATTTTTCGAGAAAGTCGCCTAGACGAAAGTTTGAATTCTTTCAGTGGATTGGAAACTGATGATGAAGTCTTGAAAGGCGTTTGATTCTTGATGTCTCGAATGGTTGAAGTGATTACAAATATTGTGAAGGTCTTGAGAACTTCGTGAGTGCAATTGATCTTGAGAATTCTGAGACACTCGAAGGTTTTTAATGTCTACTGAAAGTCTAGAGAATAGTCTGATTCTAAAAATGATAGAAAATCCTGAAAGTTTGTTTCAAACAGAAGAATAATTGCACACTTGTTTTGAAAACACATTTATGGATACTTGAAACACTTGACTTACCAGTTTCCAATGACTCCACGCGAACTATAAACACACTTATCCGCCGTTCCACAATATCTTCCTTTGAGATGATAAATTGCCAACGTTGCGCTCGAGTTGTTATTCAACTTTTACCCAGACATTTTTGAATAATCGGTATCAAGTTGTTCCAACAACGTTTGCACAATCTCGATCTGTTTGCACGATTCACGAATCGTTTCAAAACTCATTCACTACACTTTGCTATACTTTAGTTTAATCAAGGACACTACTACTAACCTTACGATAACCAACTGTTATTTTTAGCTGGTCACAATTTCGTTACGTATACTCTATCAATTATGATCGTTCTATCGACCATGAATGAAAAGTTTGTTGGAAACTGTCCATATGCAGGAAATGTTTATATCGGTTTGAACGAGTTTTCGTGGATCGAGTGCGCGACAGTGTTCATAACAATCGGTTTTGGCAGCGCGCACCAGACTCTGTGGAGCATTAAGATGCGCCGCGCGATTTCGCTGAACTGGTTCTTGCAATTTAAAATGCATTTATTTCCTTCTAATTGGCCGCACTCTGCCAATAACTTTTTATGCCCAATGAAATCACAATGTAATCGTCTACTGACATAGGTTCGATCTCTACGCGTCGTCATATTTATAATCTGACCTACGGTTATCCCTACTAACAAGATTCAACGATTCAAAGTACTAAAATAAAAACCTATTATCTATGAAGACAGAGTAATTTTAGGTGGAAATAGCTACTCTCGGTTTATAAAAACAGGGGTCCAAGATTGGAAGTAGGACCCACCTTGAAATTCCACCGAAGCAGATCTTTTTTTGCACGGTACACAGCTAACTTTCTTAATTTTCGATTTATTGAGTAATAGTTCGGAACCCTTTTCTCGACACCCTGTATGTAGGACGCGAGATATAAATGACTGGACGAACATCGTTCTCGAAGTTAATCGAGGACCATCGGACGGAGTCAATTAACATTGACGCTCGCGAAATGTCGCAGGTGCGTCATTCCGTGTATCGAAAGCGCAATAAAAAGCCAGGGCCGATTATCTCGGCTCGTTCCGTTTCTTCACCTTGCCCACGCAGCCTGCTAAAACGGGAGACTGCTTCGGAGGATCGATTCGGCCTTCGGTGATCTTTGAATCCTAAATTCAACTCGAATAAACGGGAGAAAGAATTCGACGTAACACTTCCAGTTGAAATTCGAACGACATTATGTTGTAGAAATTATGCAAATTATTCTTAGGCAACCGGGGTTACGCGATAAATATCAATTTACTGACACTCGATCAACTATGTTATGTTTAGAGCGATTCTTACTAGTCTGGGCTCGAAACAAAAATAGCTATCTACCTCGTTTTCAAGCAAATTGGGAAAGAGTAGTGACAAGTCTAGCACAGACTTTGTTTAACGTCTTGTTTCTGTCAGTTGTGTCATTGTAGTTTCTTCTCCCTCGACCACCTAAGAACGTCCATGTTCGTATTCCTGTTTCAGAGCAACCCCCGAAACCCGAGCAAGAAGAGAGGTCCTGCGTAGAGACGGAGAGCATCGAGACGGGTCTTAGGAAGACGCGGATAGGTCCAGCGAGTCCCCTGCGAGCCTCGCCATCGAGGAGCGTGGCGTCCTCGTCGGGCGACCGCACTCCACGCGCTGGTTCCATCGTCCGCGAGAACAGCAACGTGTCCAGAGCCTCGTCGGGTAGCAGAACACCCAGGGAGAGCAACTCGAGTCCTGAAGGAAGTCCCTTGAAACGCGGGACGATCAGGAACAGTCTTCGGAAACCACCGCCAACTGGCAGCCTGAGCAAGGCATCGGCTGTGCCCAAGTCCTGCCAATCGCCAGTCAGCGGTAGCAACACGTGGAACGGAAGACAGGCCAGACAGAGGCCGAGCATTCAGTCGGACACCTTCCTGAACCCCCAAGGATCGGCGACGTGCGCCACGACACCGAGCTTCTCGAGAAAGAGCCCCGCCAGACAAAGTTTACCACGGCAGAGCACCAACGGCGTCCAGTACGACAGGAACGGCAGAAGGATCAAACCGTCCACCACGGGGTCCCTTCAGTCCTCCCCGACGAAGGTGGCCAATCCTCTCCTCGAGCAGATCCTGCAGAAGGTGGGCCACCTGCAGGACGACCGCGAAGTGGTCCAGAAGCTCCAGGATCTGTTGAGGGACTACCAGGCCCACGGTGCTGGGGACGTTGCCAATTTGGAGTTCACCAGGGCGTGGATCGACGGTAACGGAACCGTGGCACTGCCTCAAGACAATCAGATGGCGGCCAGTCCTAGGAAGGATCCTAAGCCAGCCTCGGAGAGAGGAGGTTTCTCGAGGATACCAGCGCCCGTGTACAAGAGGCCTATGTCCGTCGCGTCCGACAGCGTGTGAGGAAGGCCAGTGGTCCCGAGGAAGAGGGCGGGTACGTCTCGATGAAGGCCCCCCGGTGCCTTCGAGGTCATCGAGGCTCTCGATCGGACAGGTATCTTTCGCGCGCCGGACTAAAGGTGTTAACGCGGTCGATGCTTCGCGAGTGATGATCGTTCCCCTTGTCGTGGCGCCTTCGGTTCCCAAGGATCCGGGACACAGGGTGGTCCGCGACGGCTGCGATGACGCGGAACAGGCAACGATGACAGAAAATAAACTGGTCAGGCCTGAGGTGTGCAAGCCGAGTCTCACCAACTCGAACGCTTTCGTAAAGATGCTCTTTAGACGCTTAGAATCCCAAGTTCTTCAAGGTACAAGCAATCACCTAGCGTTCCAAAATCACCATGTCCTCCTATGCACCTAATTCCATGGTGTCTTTAACTATATCGGTCTAACAATTGCAAATCAAAGGCCTAGCAATCCCCCAACACTCCACATCCTAAATTACTGGGTCCTCCTAGCTTCTCTAGCTTTCCAAACTTCATGATTTCAGTTAATATTATTTATATGACCTAGGTTCTCCTTTCCTCCCACGAGATTTTCAATGCTCCGTTTCCCGTGCTATTCCAATTCGTCCAACTACCGGTGAACACGTAGTATCTCACACCTCACGCCGCAGGCGTGAAGAAGGTACGATTTCACGAACAAAGAAACGATTCGAGGCTAACAAAGCAATTAAACGCGACGTAGATCGGCAGCCGTCGCGTAGGCAGTCGATACAGCGCGGCGGAAACGTGATCGATAAACGGTTAGGCATTCTGCATGTCGCGTCTGCCTTCTGTGTCATCGCAGATCGAAGGCGTCCGATTAGAGGAAAACTTAACGGGCCTTAACGGTACGGGGTCGATCAGTTAGCGGGCTCGTAGGAGTCACGTGTATCGGGGTGGTGCTCGGAGATATGGTGCTTGGAACGAGATGACGTTTCGTGATGCAAAACTGGATTACGAGGTGGCAGAAAAACGTGGCGGATGGAAGAGAAAGACGAGGCACGAAAAGGGACTCGTCTCGTCGACGACGGGGACGCGATTTCAATTGGTTAACACGGAATTCAAGCGGGGCAATTAGCCGGTGCTGGTCTTGCGTTAATGGCTTCCCAATCGATTTGCTTCCAGTCAGTTAATTGCACCCCGGCTGACAGCTCGTCGATTGATCCGAGACGAGAGATTACACCTTGCAACGTGGACACGCGATACTCGATCTCTCGTGTCTGTGATTTTTTTCGCCCCGGCGCGGCGTTCCGCGTGATCGATAATTCTGCCTTCCTTTCGGGCGTTTTTTCATGGTAAATTATCCGTTCAAAAATTAGTAGAATGCGTTCCGATAATTCAGAAGTTAAAAAACAATTTCACCGTCATGACCGAAATTTGAAACAATTTTTATTCGACGAAGAACTTGGTCGTCGTTTTATGAATTCATGACACTGATTGAATATTTTTTTTATACGCTTTTTCGTTCCGATAATCTGTCACTGAACGTTTTAAACAGTGAGCAAATATGGAGATCGATCACGATAACGTCTCGAGGCGTCGAAATGGCAGCATGGCGAAATATGGTATCGCGAGTTCGTGATTTCTTTAGCTTAGTAACCGCGGTCCGCGAATTTCTACGTTTCGTGCGTTCGATCACGGCAAATTATTTATTTATATAGTCTATCGGTTGTATTTATTGAAGACGATTTATTTACGCGTTGCGAGTTCGCTCGAGAGTGAGAAGAAAGAGAGAGAGAGAGAGAAAGAAAGGATGTCGGAGGATCACAGGTTCCTTTTCAGGATGTCGAGACGAGGAGAGACTGCAGGAGAGGTCGAATCGAATCTCTCGAGAGGAAATCAAATTACCCCCCTCCCCCCCCTAACAGACTGCATTATGTAGATAGTGAGACGTGTCGTCGAACAAAATGCCATTCCAATGTTTCACTGTTTTTTATACCAAACGCGAGCGTAGCGCCATTTTGTATCAAGTGTCTTGGCTGGGAAACTGACGTTTCGGGGCGGGGCGTTCACGAGCGTCGATATTTTACTACATTACTGCTAGCATTCAGGGCCACGAAAAATTATGAGTAGAAATCCGATGGGTTGACGACAATGGAGGAAAATTATTTTTTGGAATTAGAATTTCGTATTCTACAATTAAAAACTCAATTTGTTAACTGTTTGGATATTGAGATTTAGTTACCGTCACTTCGCTCCAACAAACTTTCGTACTCATCGGATAGTAAACAAATCAGATAATAAATCGACCTGGTTCCGACTGATAGAATGACGTTCATTAATCATTTGCGACGTAGTATTTCTGGGTGGTCAGTTTCGCAATATATCGATCAGAAAACGTTGCGAATTCGAACGAACTGTTCGTTCCAGTTCTTGGCTGCCGAGGTCCAGAATCATTTCGAGGGGGAGAGCTAATGAAACTTGGCAGGCTCGCGTGAACAAGCTCAAAGTGTCGAACAAGTATTTTTTATAACTTACTCGGTAGAGAATCGCGCCCCTTTGGCCTAAATCCAGCCCTAAAGTTTCATGGAGCTTTCGCTTTCCTTGGAAATTCTGGATCATGCCTCCCCTCCCTGCCGCCGCCGGAACCCGTTTCCCCCTGCAGATTACAAATTAAGAGGCACACTTCCGGCAGGGAAGCAGCAGAGACGAGAGTTTATTTTGTTGACGAGAAGTTCGAGTAGAGATTGTAGACGCGAAACGTGCGCGAGACACGGGGACGAGATTATTTTCTAGCGAGGCGTGTTAGGTGGTCTTCGCGGATGGTGCTGTGGCGTCTATAGTGTTCGATCGAAGCGCGGATTTTTTTCTTTTTTTAACGTTACACCCATATAGCGATACCTTGGCAATCAAGTAGAATTGTTTACGTTCATATATCGAAGATAAACGAACGATTCGCGATAGAATTTCAATGAAAAACGTAAAAAAAAATGTTGACCTACAAATCAAAACTTTGAGGGGTGGGTGAATCTATGGTATAAAACGAGAAGAAAAAGTTATGGGAACTTGAACTCGTTATAACTGGAAGAATAAAGCATATTCCACGTACGTTGATGTAACACTTTCTTCTCCTTTTTTAATGTAGATTAACCCTATGATATTATAAAATATAACCGGAATATTTTCTTTGTTTCTTTGATAATTATAGTATCGTTCATTTAATATATGTGTAACATATTGCGATTATGTTCTTCACAACTTACGTTAACTTAATCTGTAAGATCCCGTTGAACTGTCTGCCGTCGCGTACTTAATGAAAATTCTTACTTGAGCTTGTATTGTAGAAACGCGCAGAAGGATGTATAAATAAACTAAATCAAAATGAAAACCGACGGAAAAGCGCCGTTTCACTTGTCCAAAGGTTTCTGCGTATTTTCTAAAGATATTATTCGACGAAGCGCGTATTCTCCCCCGTGGAGGAGCGTTCGAACATTCCATTGTAAAAATGATAATTAATAAAGAGAAAACAAATGAACGGGCCACAGCAACATACCAGGAGGCACAAATAAAAATTGCTCGTAGATATCACGTTCTGAGGGTCGTTTATAAAAGCCTAAGCTTCGTAACCCCAAGCTGGTGCAGTGTCACCGCCAACGACGAATAATAATACCGGTGATTACCAATATTAATATTATTATTGCAACAATTGCTATTATTATTATTATAATTATTATTACCACAATAATTATTATTGCGATGATTATTATTATTATTATCATTATTGTCAGAGAAATGATGATAATTGATTATCATGATTATTATATGCAACGTTGAGTATGTTATGTTATCATTTTATCTACGAGTTGTAAATTGAAAGAAAAACATGCATAAAAAAAAAAACAATAAAAAGCTTTAACAGAAATAGGACGTGTTCGGTACCCCCTTCCCCGTGAGAAATCCTTGGAAAACGCCACCCACGCTTTTCGGCGTACAACCGTCGCAGGACCACGGGCACTAAATTCTTACGCAGAGACAATCGGGACTCCTTAACTTAATTTTTATCGACGAGCTCCTCTCGTTTCCTTTCCTTTCGCGGGTCGTAACTCGCCCCGAGCTTATTGCTTCTTCGACGCAAGGAACGACATAACCTTTACGAGTGACGCCCGATTCGCGCCAGGTACCCGGCATACGTTTAACCTCGCCGCTACTTTGGAGCTTTAACGCGATACTTCTACCCAATATTTCAGGCTCTAAGCGCAGGTAAATACACGTGTAAAGGCCCGTTACGAGGCCCAATACACCACAGTCATCGGGCGTCCTTGCCGCATATGGCGAGACCGCTCTCCTTCTCGGGCCCACAACAACAACCGACGGATTCTGCACGTGTGCGTGACTCAGCACGCGGCTTCTCTGTGCCCCTCGCTTTTGCCGCCGGCTTCGCGAAGAATCTCGGAAGGGAGCCACTTTTGAAATGCACGGCCGTAACCCGGGAGATTTATGACGGGCCGTGGTAGCCTCGATAATAACAGTGACGATTCCGTACGAGGATCCTTATGGAAGTTAGGGTGGAAACAATGGGAACGATTAACGGCCATCTTTTACCAACGCGGTACGTTTCGAATTATACTGCGTGGGTGCAGGGTAAGTCGAGGCATCCTTTCTTTGGGGTGTATAAGAACAATGCAAAGATATTGGTATACTCATTCAGGGGTACGTGTGTTGAAACATAATTGTTCAGGGATATAGGAAGATGAGAAGATAGTTGTCCGAGGGTTGAGGACTATGGAAGCGTAATCGTTCAGGATAGAAAAATATCAGAATATGGAGGTGCAGAGACCCAAAGATGCATGTCTACGAGGAGCACAGAAATATCGTGTTTAGGGCTTCTGGAATGTAAGAATAAAAGAGTATACGTGAAAAATTGAGTAATTGATCACTGCGTTAATGGAGGCACCGAAGACTGATAGACTCGCGATTGGATAAAGTAGCTACAAAGATACGTTCCATCCGTACAATTTATTTAGTAATTCGTCTCGATGACGGTTCACGATAGCAACGAGGTAATTCAATTTACCGTTAACAGTCGCCGCGGCAAATTGTTCATAAGCGTTTCGCAGTCGTCGAAGTGAATTAATGACGCAAAGTAATGGCGGCAATTAGAAAACCACTTAAATCGTCCTAATGATTCTCATTTAACACGTCGGGCGCAACGCGCGTCGCTGTTCATTTCGCATTCTGTCCGTGCGCCGAGTGGGTCTCATGGAAATTGCATCGTACATACTACGTACACGAATCCCGCGATGCATACGAGCGTTTACGCGTTTCATTGCATTCCTTGGTTTCGAGAACGATTGCATATTTAATTCTGCGCCGCGCAACCGTGACTCATGGACGTCTCTTGACTACAGACTCGATTTTCTCTGGTAGTAACATCGTGTTTACACGCGTTTGCTCGAACAGCGTCATCTATTCCTAACTCGTTCGATCGAAAAATGTCAACCATAATGTCTTTTGCTATAAAAATCGAAGACAATGTTAGATTCATTGGATACACTACTGTTGAGAGTGTTGATACGTAATCCCTTCCACTGTTTTAGGTTCTGGCTCGGTACGTGATCGACTTACCCAATAATAACCAAGAACCTATGAAGTAGAGGGGATTACGTGGATCGCTCGAACGATTCCCTTTGTCCCTTGCGTCGTTCAGTTTGCAGGTAGTCTGCCATCATCTCGTTTCGCAATAGTAGCGTACACGATCTAACACTGTCTTAAACCGTAGACATCGGTCTAACTTTCTTGTGCCTAGTGCGAGATCCAACAGCGATGCATAATGTCAGTGTCCGAAGGCAGAAATATCAGTGACCATCTGACACCGGCGTGCAACCAATTTCTGTGAGACAAATAACATATTTACTCCGGTTTCAGTATGATCTGTATGCGTGTTGCAACCTATTTGGCGGGGTCTCGGTGACCATGTTCTGACAATCGTTATTCCCGGTCCGTTCGAATTTAATATAAATTGCAAGCATAATGCTCGGTGCCCGAAGGAGATTGGGAGGATCATCCCTTACAAGGAAACCGGCGTGTCTATACTCTCGCGTAATGGGGTCGAGAAACGACGGAAGAATAAATTGGATAATTGTGATTAATGCAGCTGCAACGTAAGGTGTATCGTTCGCGGTCCGCGGGCACCGGCCGCACGAGATAATTTGTCAACGTTTGGAATTTTAATGGTCGGTTCGGCGGAGGCCTGCGCTTTCGGTATTATGTTTCGTGTTTTTTATTCCCTCGGCCGTAATAACGTTTACGCCGAGGTGAAAGTACTCCCACGCTCCCGCGTTGATGACCTTAACTCCGACCGAATTTACGTCACAATTTTCATACACGGAGACGCGAAAATCTCCCCCACCCCCTCCCCGACCCCTCCGCCGCCAGAAATAGAATCGCCGCGCGTTTCACTTATCCGATATAAATTTCCAGCGGGAGCGTTGCGCAACCGGGCGCAGGTGTGCCTTTGTCTCGCGTTATTTTGAAACGTGTCAGTTTTGCCGGGTAACGGGGAAGGAATCACAGTGTTTTTTTTCAATGGTACATCGTTGACTGCCGATGTTATCGCGCGCCACAGAAATTTAAAGGCGACCACGCCGGGTGAAATGTGTGCAACGTCGACGGTAAAGTTGCACGGAGAAATTTTATGCAGTAGACGAAGTGACGTTTTATTGTGACATTTTAAACACGTGCACAGAACGATCCCACATACCGGCCGGCCGCTGACAAAATGGCTGACACCGGTCTTTCGAACACTGTTGTATTTGAGGTTAGGTTATTTAGATCTTTGCTGGAGGAAAATTTTTTTATATTATTAACTTTAAGAGATATTATGGTGAGGTTTCGCTTTTTAAATGGAACTATATATTTTTTTTGGAT